ACAGTGGCTGGTGGTGTTCACAGAGAATGTTCTATAGGCGTCAATGTGAAAACTGTTAAAATAAAACGTAGTAACTTATTAAATAAACATCAACATTTAGTTTTTGTTTTTTTTTTTTTTTTTTGTTATTTTAAACGATTGAAGAAGCTGAAGCCGTTTCGTAAATTGTAATACAACAGAAGTAAGATCATTATTGAACAACAACAAAAATATTTACACAAAACTGCATCTAGATGATAATGGGCAGATATATCTACTATGTGTATGTATGATTGAATGAAAAACGATAGCTGAAAAGATAAGTATTCTTGATAAAAAAAAAACGGAGATGTAAACAGAAAACATTTGTTTGCATGTACAATCAATTGTGAATGGATCATTTTTTTTTGTTGCTACCGCAATTTTCACCCCAAAATACCCTCATAACGGCTTCGGATATCAGAATAACAACATCACTCAACACACAACAAAATTAATTAACAGGAAAAAAGAAAACATACGAAACCGTCATGTACATACATATGTACATATCTATATATACGACAGCTACGTACGTCGTGAAACAGATGTCGGTTAAATTGTAGAAAAAAAAATGACTAAATCTATTGCAAATGAGTCAAAACTCTTAGACGTGTATTCCCGAAGCAATAAAACAATTTAATAAAAGAACAAAAACATGCATTTGGCATCATGAAAAAAATCATAACAATTTTTTCAAATAATATTTGTTATAGTATTTTTTATATACCTTCCATAAGATGAGGGCATATTAAGTTCGTCGTTCCATTTGTATCCTCCCTCATATGAACCATAAAGACCCATGTTGTTGTTAAAGCTATACCATAGCTGAATATATAGCTGAATCGCGTGATTTCAGGAATTTAGGGTCTTTTAGCAACATTTTATATTGGAATTTGCATTTTGTGTTTCAAGGTCCAAGTTATGTGATGGTACCCAATATTGTAGTTGTTTGTGCAAAATTTGTTAACCCAATCAGATTTTGGGTTTTTAATCTCTGTCGGTCCACTTCCATAAATCTATAGGGACATCGTATAGATCGATCGATTTAAAGTATACCGAGTCTTTGAGGGCTTTTTCCATCAAAAAGTAATTTGACGTTTCAAGTTCTAAGAGAATTCAAATCCTTGCTGACAAAGTTTCACACAAAAATGGAAAATAAAGACGCCTTCAAACTTGTCACAAATCTACAGGAGGGAACTAAGATCGAATTACTAGGGGCTAACCAGGAGGCACAAGGCAGTAGTAAGACAAATAAGTGATGATTTGTCTGGCTCAAAGATAGCACGACATGCAGCTAAAACCGGGTTGTCTGCAAAACTTGAAGCTAGAGAAGATTATTGCACGATAAATTGGCTGCGAAAATATCAAACGAAAGAATTGGAGTAGAAGACACCAGAAAAAGGTCCAAGTCCCGCTGAAGAATCTAAGTGGCAAATGAAGCAATATGTTATACTCATGTGGGAAGGGAACGAGAAGTGATTGATAAGAAGCCCAACGCCCATAAGAAAAAAAGATTTTACATAGGCTTCATATAGAACTATCTCCTGATTTTCGCTTTATTATATCCTCCGCCTTAAAAAGGAGGGTATCTTAAAAATTGTCATTCCGTTTGTAACATGTCTTAATATTTAATGTAGACCCCATAATGGTTGGTATTGAAAATAAGGATATATCGGCCCACGTTTTCACGTAGTTCACGGGTATGTCGAAAAATACGGATTTTTAGTAATGGTTTTTAGCTCCGGTGGAGGAATTTTGTATAGATGCATATGTGCACGTTTTCGTATAACCCCCATCTAATGATACCTCCCAAAATTTTTATGATTTTTGCCAGATTTTTCCACGACTTGTCTAAAAATTGGTATTTGTAGTTCATAATGGGTTCTAGCTCCTAAAAATTGGTATTTGTAAATCATAAGGATTTCTGGCTCTGTTGGCAGAACATTAAATATCTATTTCCAAATTTTAAGACTCGCAATAGATAACAATCCTTGTAGTATAAAATTGTCTATATAGGTTCCCATTTTGGTATGACCTATATATAACGACTTCTCCCAGTTTATGTTTTTTAAGGGACGCGTTTGAATCCAGATACTTTTATATTAAAATGTTTTCTTTAACCAATGCACTATGGGTTTTTTTACGTTTATTTTGGCATAAACTCTAATTTCAAAGCTATTGAATTGAAATTTGGTTTGTATGCATTTTTTATGCTTCCAAGATGACCTACCAATTTTCATATGATTTGGGGCACTATTTCATATAGCTGCTATATAGCCGATCTGACCGATTTGACCCAACTTTTTTGTTTATGAAGCTATTGAAGTGAAATTTGGTTTGTATTAATTTTTTATACCCCAAAGATGACTTACGAATTTTCATATGATTTGGGGCACTATTTCATATAGCTGCTATATAGCCGATCTGGCCGATTTGACCCAACTTTTTTGTTTACGAAGCTATTGAAGTGAAATTTGGTTTGTATTAATTTTTTATACCCCAAAGATGACTTACGAATTTTCATATGATTTGGGGCACTATTTCATATAGCTGCTATATAGCCGATTTGGCCTATTTGACCCAACTTTTTTATTTATGAAGCTGTTGAAGTGAAATTTGTTTGGTATACATTTTTTATTCTCCCAAGATGACCTACGAATTTTCATATGATTTGGGGCTCTATTTCATGTAGCTGCTATATAGCCGATCTGGCCGATCGGCTATGATGATTTGGAGAAACATACTGCTCATTCATTACAATAATTATACTTTTGCTAAGTCATTTTGAATGTTTAGTTTTAAATCGCTCTAGTTTACGGATGCACTTTGGCAAATGCTTTTTTATATAATTAACAAAATCTTTCACTTGTTTTGATATCAAACGCATTTGGTCTTCATTTAAACTGATATTATTGATATTCTGTAACACATATTTCACAAGTGCATCTTCTGAGCGATTGTTGCTTCTCCAAATTTCAATAAGCGCTGCATGGACAAACACATGTTTATCTGCAAAACACGTGTTGGCACAAAATAGAACAAAAAAGGCTAGTTACTCATTAATTAACACACTTTTGTTAATAACTTGGCATTTATACCTTTTTGCAATGCTTTGCCATTCACAAGTTACACTCCACGGAACACAACTACAATTTATAGATTTTATATAAAGCTATACATAAACGAAACAATTCACAGTATTACAACAACAGACAATTATGACAAAAAGGGCACCTCGTCTTAATTGTACATACCTGCACTAACGTTTTCCATAATTACACATTTTATTTTTTTCAATTTTGTCAAATCAGAAGTACTTGAACTTAGCTGATCTTTACCGCCAGTTGTACCAAATCAAAGTGACTTTCAAACAGCTGACTTTAAAAGCTCGCCAGCAAAAAAGGGTTGCCACCCGTATTGATATTAAACATTTTTTTTTCTAATGTGGGTATCTACATTTAGGAAATCAGTTAAATTTCAAAATATGAAACCAAAAAAAAAATGACTTTATGCCAAAAAATCATGCTTTTTACCCATAGTGCAATGGTGGAGGGTATGTTTTTTACTTTTTAATGTTTTAGCCAGAATTTCCAAACAATACTTTGTAATTGGCCTCTAGCGTTATCGCGAATAAATCTTAAGCACAAACGTTCTACCGTAGATATTCTGTTTTGAAGATCCAAGCCGCGTTTTTTTGTCAAATCGAATCGACTTCTTTATTCGTAATGCTAGAATACAGGCTTGTAAATTTGCCAGACACCTTGCTCATACAATATCACTACGTAGGTGTTTTGAACCCATACAATTTGACTATAGAAATGGAGGTTATAAAAAGATTAATTGTTCTTGTTCAATTGTATTAAAAGACGTGAATGTAGCACATGTAGATTTTCTAAAATACCCACAAAATATTTATTACTTGTACAGAGATGCTACCCAACTAAAAAAAAAACATTTCAAATCGAATTACTAAACATTATTATAAGAAGGTCATGCCAAACGAAATTAGTTGTTAATCCTTGACAACAAATAAGTAGACAAATATAGTATATTATAATTCTTTATAGCCTATTTTTACATTAACGTAGATTTTTTCTCAATATTACCTTAAATAAACAAATATCGTCAAATCGTCATTAAATATAAGTTACTTATTGTTTGCTATTTAATTAAAAATAATTCGTAATTACAAAATAAATTGTTTTCGCCCAGGGTGTGAGAGAATGTTTGGTATTTATTATAGCATTTAATTTATACAAAAAATGTATATAAATATATTTTTATTAGCAAAAAACACTTGTTAAAGCTCTTAAAAATTACCAACAAATCAATTAGAAACGCATTAAGAATTTTTAAACGCAACACTGAGACATGATAATTTTCTAAAAAGGGAAACAACACGTCTTACCATATTATTAAAATTCAGATTTTTTGTAATATTTTGAAAATTGAAATGAGAAATAGGGAATGTTTTTAAAAGAGACGTTATACTGCAAGCTTAATACAAAACTCCAGACAAGACTATTCGATGCCCAAGACTTGGGGATGGAAGTATATCAGGGCTGATTCCCATATAGATTAAATAAAATATGATATTGGATGAAACATGTTTAGAAAAGTGTGAGGTTGATTCGAGGAGAATATCTAATAATTATGGTTTAGCAATAATTTGCCGTGCCTCATCAAAAATTTGCCAAAAAAAAAAAAAGTGGGAGGTTCGACATTGAGTAAAAGTTTACTCTACGACTGTTTTTGGTCGGGTTACAGAAAAGCCCCACCCTGAAAAAAAAATAATTGAATGACGAAAAGTAAAATAAATAGTCCCCATCGAAAACGATTCCAGGGGCTTAGAAAAATAGTGTGTTCCCTATTTTTTTTTTTATTTTTTCTAATTCGCTCAAATTTCTAAGCTCTGCTCATTTAAGCCTCTTCAAGTACATTATGTTTTCTATAGCATAGTAAACACATTTCGAACTTACCACAAACATACAAGATCGTTTATAATGGGCACAGCCCGAACGTTGAGTTGGTAGGGAGGGTGAGGAGGAGGTGGTTATTGTTGTGGATGTTGAAGATGTAATAATGCTTTCTGCTACCGTCAATCTGTTTTGAGATGAGCTTATATTATTATTCGCCGATACTGTTTGATTCGAGGGCTGATGTTTGACATTCGTGGGTTGCTGGTGATGTTGTGTTGACGTTGATGTGTGATTGGTTATGATTGTGACGTCACTTTTTAAAGGATTCTGTATACTCATAATATTACAGGCGGGTGTTGAGAGGGCTTTGCGCAAAATAGGTTTGTATTCATTCGAACCGTCCGTGATGTAGTCCATTTTATGAGTTTTATTTTCGAGTAATGATAAATGTTGTTGATTCATAATTAAAGCTTGAGGCAAAGCGGTGTGACGCCTTCTATTGAGCGGAGATTGAGCCATTGAATATTCCAGTGCATCCATGGCCATGGACAGTGGGGAATTGGAGGTATTGAGATGTGTGTGGCTGTTGCTAGTTGTGGTTTTCATGATAGAACAGTAATTCGAGTTATTTGTTGCTATATTCGAATTTATGGTATTTAAATTGATTTGATTGAAGTCTTCGATTTCGTGGTGAACAGCCTCCATGTCGTCTTCTATGGCCATCAATTGTGACGATTGTACGATTGATGATAATGAAGAGCAACTTGATGATGATGACGATGAGGTTGATGACGACAGACTAGTGTTGTGCCCATCCAAAGATGAACATAGGCATTTGTTGCGATGTTTGCCTCTTAAATTTATTGGGTAATGTTCCTTTGGAGAATATTCTCGTTGGCATGTCTGTTGTACTCTGCTGGCATTGATGGTTTGATTTTGCGATACAGGTGCATCCATATTTTCAGTTGTTGTTTGAGTGTATTTTTACTCCAGTAATCCAACCCGTTGGAATTGTGTGTTGTGTTTTTATAATTAATTTCAGTCTCTGATTTTATAAGCCGCTTGCACCAGTCTCGCTTGAGAACGACATTCGTAATTGTAAATATTTATTCCATGTCTCCCGAATTGCTGTCATCGGATATTTGTATTTACTTAATTGTCAGTCACCAGAATTAAAAATTCGGTTTTAATTTCAGCACAATTCCAATAATACTTTTGGGCGTCAATGAAATCTGTTTAAGAAAAGAAAGATATTAAATGCGGTTGCTTAATGTTTGCTGAACACTTAAAATATAACACAATTTTTGGGGTTTTATAGGTTGTCTGTCGTGTCTGTTGTTAGCACTTCAACGTCACCATCGGGTTTTCAGTTTTGACGGTACGTCGCAGCTTTCGTTAAACAAAAACTTGCTAAGTGTGACATTATTTGATATAATGGGAATGTATTGATATATTGGAGAAACAAATTTTTATTTAAAAAGATACATAGAATAAAAAATTTAAGCCATATCACATATTTCAAATATGTTTGTGTTAACAATTTTTGCTGTGACGTAAAAAACAACGTTTTGATCAAATAATTTAATAGAAAAGGGTACAAAGTACATACATATGTATATCATTAGAGAACATGTCAAAATCAACATTGTCATTGATGTACATCTTCACAAAACTAAAAAACGTAATGACACCAAATTGCTAGGGAAACAATGAAGGACTTGAACCAGTCCACGGTAAGTAGACCAATTTAACTTTACCATATACTAAACCAGGCTTAAAAATTAAAAAAAAAAAAAAAACACATAACACACAACCAAGAATGAGAAAAGAATACTAGCAGAATGGGAATAGGCTTAGATTGGCGATAACAAATAAATTTTAGCATTAGACCTCATTGTATCAGACCGGAAACCTAAAACCAGACATAGACTTTTGTATGGATGGAAAATGGCTCGCTGTCAGAGGCTTTACGCCTACGACAGATTAACTGCTAAAATATCCTAACATATACTGATGATGCTATAAAGGCTGTAACTACCGAATCCTGCAGGGTTAAACATCAAATTCGCAAAGAGTGATAGGTTTAGAAAAATCAAAGTCTCTACATCCATTGCGCGTAGAACTGAAATTTTTACCTACGAAATGTTGAAAAACATTCACTGCCAGCTTTATTAAATTCCTGATGCCATTTAATTTTTTATCCTCATCCAAATAGTTACAGAGAGTATATATAAATTTATATAGTCAAAATGTGCCTCATCGAAATAACACACCCTTTGGACGAAATCCGGCTGGCTGGTGCGCACTTTAATTCTCAAAGCGAGTATACGATTTAATCTAAACTTGGTACATTGTAATATTTTACCAAACTTAGATAGAGTTCGGAGATGGGCAAAATGGACTAATTTCTCCTTGTAACTTTCCCCATAAAGTCAGAAAAGATTATCCGATATTTTTTAACTTTGCAAACTCTTAATCTTATTGCTAATGGACAATTTCGGTCAACCCCTTCTAGTACCCCAAAACTTTGGACATCCCAATATTTTTATCAGTATGAGATGAGTTGTGAAAGTACATCGATTCACGCCTTCACCCCCTCCTATTCACACATACATAAAAGTTCAAAATCTTTCTAAAAAAAATCTTTTATGTCACATAAAGTCTGGCACGTCGTAGTATTTATATCAGACTTAGCTCAGATACGAAGTGGAAAATGTTAGTCTACTCCTCCGGTAACAAAAATGGTCAACATTTTGACGGATATATTTTACTTTGATAGAGGTATACGAAGTTTTAAAGCATTGCCTTTTTTATTTTTAAATAAATTTCAAACTAAAATTTAAGCAAGAGGTTTTAATTTGTTCGATTTTGCAACAATTATTTTGTAATTATGTATAAACTACGACCCATGGCTTCTTTATATTTTTATCCCCTAAATATTGAATTATGAAAATGAAGTAAATGTTTTTGGTTTTCTTCCCTTAATTCCTTCAAATTATTTTAGAATCATACAATTTTATTATAACTAGCAGTGATGATAAAAATGTAACTTTCATAAAAAAACCACGGGGAAAATACAAAAGCCCTAAGAATAGCCTTTTCTAATATGAAATTCTCAGTATCACGCACACGGCTTCTAATAGAGTATACCTACAATGTATACATGCAGTTACAATGAATTTTATGATAATGAGTAATAAATTATTTCAATAAAAATGTTTCAAGTTACGATATCTATACACGTTGCAGTTTATCATAAACTAAAGCTTTTGCTTTCTAAAAGGAAAACGTTTTCACTTAAACAGTTGAATGTAGAACTTGCATAGACGTCCAGAGAAAAGTAGGCGTAATATACATTAAACCCCCGTTGATTTGTACTCCAATAATTTGTTAACACCAAGAATTTCGGTTTTATTCTAATGTAACCTCGTTGTATAGAAAATCTTTGTAATTCGAATTGGCTGGTCTCGAGTCATTGGAAATTATCGAGATTCTGCTTTACTCGTATATGACGATTCTATTCGTACCTAGATGAAATCATCAATAATATTAATAACTCTTTGCGGAAAAAAGTCCATGGACAAATGAAATGGAACATTATGTCTGTACGACTTGACTAACTAACACAAATTTCGTCCCAGGATCAAACAGTTGAACTGTGCAAAATTCCATCTTAATCAGACAATGAATGCGATCAGTACTTTGCAAACAAAAATACATTATTTAACATGTATAAGCGTCTGAATCCACCTGCGTAGATAACAAAGTGAAGTGTCGTAGACACTATTGCTCCTAGTCGAAATGAAAATATGTAGGAAGGACCTACACTGTCATTGAAATATTAAGTGCCGAGATAACGTACGATATAATATGCGAGGAAATAGCTTAGAGTCTCTGTTAAGTGTTACTGTAGCCCATGTCTGAGATGTCACTCGGAAATTGAGCAATTAAAAGAACTGGGCCGAACTTTTAAAACCCTCCACCATTTGAAAGAAATTTGCAAAATTTGAAATCAATTGCAAAATGCGGCTAAAATTTTAAAAATTCCGAATATCAGGTGTTACGGTCATATGGGGCTATACAAAAAAAAAAACCAATTATCTGCCAGAGAAGGAGGCGCCTATTACGAACTCCAAACACCAAGTTTTAGATAGTTAAAACATTTAGGTAAAATCATCGAAATACCGATTATTCGGAATGAATTTTTATTGGCAATTTTACAGTCATAAGAAGCAGTCCCCACTGGAAACACAAAATTCCGAATTTGAAATAAGTCTATTGAAGATTAGGTTTGGTTATGTTGAAAAGAGGGGAGAGAGAAGCAATTCGGCACATGCCCTGTTGGGCATTACTTAAGCCAGTATAGGCCTGTTGTGCGCTCTAGACTAAGGGTTATTGGAGAAGGCGGGCAGTTTATAGTCTGTTATATTTGAAATTCAGTTGCCTTTATAAAATTTCTTAACTGTCTTATATCATTTACCACGGTCTGATTAAGGTCTGGTATGGAGTCGTTCCCTAAGAATTAGGATCTGATATTATGTTGAAAGGTATGGCAAAAAATCGTCAAAATTCCAAATATAGGGAGGTACAGATATATATTTGGAGACACAGTAACACGTGAATTTTTATGGGCAATTTCGAAGTCATAAGAAGCGGTCCCCACTGCAAACTCCAAATTCGGAATTTGAAATAATTCTGCTGAAAGGTGTGGCAAAAAAACGTCAAAATTCCAAATATAGGGAGGTACAGATATATAGATATTACAAAATCCAAATACCAAATTTGAAAAAATTCCGGTGAAAAGGTGTGACACAAATATAATAATACCGAATATTTTGAGGGAAAGTTATATAGGGCCAACACTAAATCGTGGACCTCTACAGCTAATTATCTAAATACCAAGTTTGAAATAATTCTATTGCAAAATGAAAATCATCAAAAAAAAAAAACGAATATGTGGCTATACGAAGCTTTAGGCCTGTACGGGACATTTTCTGTCATAGGAGGTATTATCCATTGCGAACTCTATGTACCGAATTGTAAGCAATTCCAGTGAAAACTGTGACACAAATCATCAAAACACCGACTACCTGTAGGTACAGTTATATGGGGTCTATACCAAAAGCTGGACTTATATATACACTTCTCTGTATGAATTGGTAAATGCTCTCTTCTCTCTCTCATTTAATGGACTTCGGCGTTATAGAACAATTTGTAATGATTTCTACGGATTTTTACAATTTATTGGGGTATCGTACACATCTATTATTGGGTTATCATACACAAATTAGAACACTGAACACACGTGTTTAATTTGTCAGATTTAGTAATATTACTATACTTAAGTTTTCAAAGTTGTTCATTTATCTTACCGTATTATTCAGTGCACCATAAAAATCAGCCAACAATATGAGAAATAATGGATATGTAAAAAGTTTTTCACATTAATTTATATTGAAGTTATATTCCGTTTTTATTTGTTATCTTAAGCAAAGATACGATTTCGACGTTATCACACTCTGAGGAACGGTATGCAACTGACGGAATCAAAATTTAAAATTTTCCAACAGACACGGCGTACAGAAGACATATATTACAACAAATGTGGAAAATTTAAAAATGGTTACTCCAATTTCGTCGTACGCATAGCATTTAGTTACCTGCTAAAAGCAAATAAAGCCCTTAAGTTACTACAAACACACGCACACACAGGCGGGCAGACATACATATGTACACACCCCAGATTGATTGAGCGCATCACTTAACGAAGTAATCGGAAGATAAATACGCTAGTGGTGGAGTGCATCTAAAACCGATATCATCCAAACGAGAATATATTGGTATTAGTGGTATTGGTTTCAGGATTAGAAGATATGTCTATGCTACATTTAACATGATGGTGATAATTGGAACACATGATAATTATGTTTAAATTTGTATTTTCGATAAAAAAAAAACTAAACCGTTCATCACTTTTGCTCTTTGTTGTAATATGAGCGATTGTTTCTAAGTTGTTGTCAGGCCGAAACTAAGACAACAAGACAACATACATAGATATTGAATAAAACTATTTCTTGTTGTTGCTTGTTCATATCGTATCAAAGATAAGAAGTTACGTATGTATGTATATTTAAGAAAAGAAAATGACACAGCAAAACAAATTGTAACAGTGTCTGGATATGTTGTAATGACATTAAAAATAGCGTTTGTGTGTGCGTTTTACACTTTTAGC